GGAGCCTAAATAAATACATAAATACATACACACACACGTACATACATATATACATATACACATACATAAAAAAAGTAACCATCCATGTGCGCTGGCCAGTATACTTTATATTGTCACTTTTACATCTGTTTCAGATCCTGATTCATACCATTCTGTAAAATTTGTCATTGCTCTTGCATCTTTAAGCGTAAAAGGAAACTAGAATGCAGTCTAAATCATTCAGAAATCACTGAAAGTTATGTAGACGGGGCAGCGAAGCTCTTCTGTTTTACTCAAATTCACTAGGAATTTGTAAAACCCTCAGAATCTTGAATATAAATTAGAGCTGGTTGTAATTTGAATAATCTTATAGAGACTTGTTCTAAATACCTTATTTTTTGTAATCCCTGCGCAGAATTCAAGTGTTGGTAGTGTTATGGGGTGGTGGGAAGGAAAAGCATCATGAAGGAAAAAGCTCACTTGCTGACCACGTAGAGCTGAACTGAGCTGGTCAGGGAGGGGACCACCTGCCTGGTTAGCAGGAACCACCAGATGGAGAATTTGTGGGCAGAAGCAACAGTGGAGCGCACCAGTGTTAACACTCTACCCAAATGCTTCCCTTCCCGACCTGAAAGAAAAAATTAGCAATGAACCACCCCTTCTGTCAGCGGTTCTCCACCCCGGCCACACCTGTAAATCACCTGGATTCTTTTCAAGCCATATAATTTGCAAAACCCAGTGCAAAATGAAAATGAAGGGCCCTGGGTTCAAAAAGCATTAAGAATTTCAGGATGGCCACAGCAGAGCATTAAACCATGCACAGGGACCCTTCCAAGCTTGGGGCCCTGTGCAACTGACTGCATAGCTCGCACAGCCATGAAGCCGACCCTGGCTGCAGGAAGCCTCAGGTAATTTCCCCCCCAGCCTCTGATAGGGGCCCACCTCACCCCAAGTTGCAGCAGCTCTCTGGCTGGTTCACTGACTCTTACTCCTCTGCAGTCTTCTCCCCACAGGGTCATGCAGAAACTTCTAAAACCCCTGTTTGACATGAGCTCACCTGAGGAAGTGTGCGGGTGTCTTCTAAAGTTCCTGTACCTCCATCCCCACCAATATGTTCTATCCAGTGCCCCTACCCCAGGCCCACGAGGGACACGTGTAGGCAGCCACTGCTCCAAACGGGAAGCACATGGCCCTCTGCTTTCTGCCTCTTCCTCCGGCCATGTTGGATTCTGATTCTCACTACTGCTACTTTGACCCCACCCTACATCTGCCATCCTTCTCAGGGTCCAGGTGACATCTCAAGCCCTTGGAATCTCTTTCTCTCTAATCTTTCCAAGCCATGGGCTGCCCTTTCCGGCAGTGAAAGGGCTTCCTCTTCCCCTCCCTGCCTTTGGGGATCTGTCCTCATAACACATCCTCTATTCTTTCCACATTGTGCCTCTTAAAATGAAGCCCCAACTTCTAAATTTTGCCTTTGATATATACAGAAAGCTTTTCAAGGAGAAAAAATTCTCCTTCCTCTCTCTCTCGCAAAGCTGGACTTGTTTAAAAACTATTATCTTACCATGGCACTTACATTTTTAATCAGTTTTTTATTTCAAAGTTGAACGATGGCTTCTTTATTCCAAGTGGCATCCACCCTTTCCCCAAAGCAATCACTGCCAATGAACAACACAAGTACCTTACATAAAGAAACAAAATAATGCATGTGATATACTTACCAAGGGCATGACAACACTAGATGCAAAATAAATGATAGCTACCAATTATCCTTACCTAACTATTATCATTACCTGTTTTACTAGGAAAAACAGTTTCCTCCTTTCTCCCCTTACCCAAATCCAAATAGAATAATATGTCTAAATTCTTTGAACTTTGAAAAATATATAACCTAAAGGAAGGTACAGTATTTATCAGGTAAATTATTTTGCTTAGTAGGTTCAAAAATTAAATTGTCACTCTTACCTCTCTGATATCACCACACAAACAAAAAGAATTACTTTATTCCTTAGAATCTCACATATATTACATTATAATAATTAGGTTTCTGATATTCAGCCATTTTTTGATCTATAAAAATTGCAATTTTATATGGTTCAACCTAAGAATAGAATGATCTAGTTGATTTTTTAATGATTTTTAATTGGCCTCTTTCATTTATAGACTGAGACCTAGAGAAGAAATTGCCATGGTAACCCTAAAAATCAAACAGGATTGCACAATAGGAATTGGGAGAAACCTAGGACAGACTCATCAATTTGCAAATGAGGACTTAAGGTCCGGAGAGATGAAGTGAGCTTCCCAAAATATCATGGCCAATTAGTGGCAGAACTAAGCTCTGTCTGCACTGTGCTTCTTGCCACCACATCAGGCAGGCTTCCTTCCTTCTTTACATTTGTCAAAATATGTTAAGAACATCACAACCTCACTGAGAAATCAGTGCTCTGAGGCTGATAATGAAGGCGAATATCAAAAGTTAGAGGCAATCTGGGATAGAAGCATGCTTTTCAAAGACTTTTGATCAATGATAATTAAACTTTTAAAAGGAGAAATGTCAATCAAAATGAAGGTGCTTGCTTCTTAGGCATTATAATTTGGAGATTCTTCTGATTAAACTATTTTTCAAGCCCCCTTTATGGCCCTACTCTGAGTTTTCAGACACGGACTTTTCAGTGTTTCTTGAGCTAATAGCTTCTGGTTTGTGCTTTATTGTTATTGTTTCAACATTACCTTCAACCCTCAACTTATTTGCAAGTATAATTCATAATTGCCTCTCAAATACTATAATATGTCAAACAAGGCAAAAAGGTAATATCTTAAATACCTCGAACCTTAGTTCTTTGTAACCATAATAGTTTGCAAAGGAGAAAACATCACCAACTTTAATCTCCCAATTTAAATAGTGTTTACGTGTGATGTCATTCCTTGAAGCCGTTACTGTGACTGGTATTTTGTTAATGCTGCACAGCTATGGGTAAAGTTCTATTAGGACTTTCACCATAGGCACCACAGTGGTATCTATATGAAAAGGATTCATTCAATCTCTATCAACCCTGAAAGGGCTATATTGATAATCCCAACATGCAGATAAGGAAACTGATGTTTAGGAAGGTTCCATAACTGTCCGAGGTCCCACAGCTAGTGACAGCTGCTGTAGGGAGAGTAGAATCGCTATCAATCCTACCTCCATGCCACCGCACGACCAAGCAGAAGTCTATTCATCCTACTAACTTATGTCCCAGATGGGACAGTTGTAGCTAAACCATTTGTAAGTCCCGGATTTCACATGACAAACTCTATTGAAAATATTCCAGTCTATTTTCAGATGAGTCAGAGGTCCCAAGGGGAGTTCAAAACATAAGGCCCCTGCAACAGCAGCAGTGCCAAATCCATTGCCAGATCTGCACTTATACCTCTCCCATTACCGTCTCCTATGGTGACTTTTAACTATATCCACACACTCTTTGATACTCTTTCCTTCAAAAGTGGAGCTTAATTCCTCTTCCCCTGGGTGTAGACTGTACCTGGTGAATGAACAGAATGCGGAAGAAGTGACAACGTATGACTTCCCAGGCCAGCTCAGAAAAGGAACTGTGGCTTCCTCCTTGCTCTCCTTTCTATTAGTCACTCTGGGGGAAGTGGGCTGCCATGTAACCCCTACATTCCAGCAGCTCTGTGGGGGATCCCATGTGGGCAGGATCGGAAGCTTTCTGCTATCCTGGAAGTGAGTCCATCAGCCCCAGTCAAGTCTTCAGATGACTGCAGGAGAAGTTCCAACTGCAGCTTCATGAAAACCCTCAATCTAGAACCACCCAACTAAGGTGACCCCAGATACCCAAACTTCAGAAACTGTAAGCTAATGAACATTTGCTTTAAGCTTTCAAGTTTGGAAGTAATTTGTTATGAAACAATAGATAATGAATACACATTTATGCTTAAATTACGTCTTTTCTTATAACAAAGTAAAAAGCTGAACTACCCATGGCTACAAAAGCAGCTAATATCCACAGGCCAAATATTCTCCTTGGTCCAGATTCACTTAGAACACACCCAGGAGGTGAGATGACTAGAAGGTGTTCTCCTCAAGCCTTTGCCCCTATCAAAAATATAATGTAAGACACACACACACATACATGGTGGCTCAAAAATATGTTTACACATTTTTAATTATTGATTCCAATGAGTTAAATCTGAAAAGAAAGAAACATCAATTAAACTATCAGCTGTAAAGTGTGTACACATTTTTGGGGGGACACCCTGTATATATAATGCAAGATTGCTTCTCTACCAGTTACATCATGCCCCATGCCCTAGGAGAAGCAGACTGATTTAAAAAGAGAGAGAAAGAGAGCAAAATTGTTCCCTGTAAGATCACAGCACTATCTCTGAATGTCCAGCCTATGTGTGACTATAGCCATCACTCTGTGATAACACCCTGCATCACAAAGTTCTATAGCAACTGAAAATAGAACATGTCCTTTAAGGGCAGGAAGCCAATTATTTCTTTAACTATGTTATTTTCCTCCATCAAACTGAAGGCAGCTAGTAAATGATGTAGTAGATTCAGGGAACTTAACCAGTAAAAACCTCCCTTTGAAAAGTGGCTGTTGCCATCTGAAGTGAGGACTGGTCCCGAGCACCGACAATCTCAGAAACAGCGAACTGGAGTGAAATGTCAACCCTGTGCCAACATAATGAGACCAACACACATCAAGGCTCTTGTCCATCTGAAAACATGTTTTTCTTCCAGTTTCAGAGGGAAGCTGCGCACAGACATCTAAGAAGCTAAGGCGGCGGGAAGCGGTGGTCAGCGTTTTCCCAGCTGCTCTCCAAAGTGAAAGGAGAGCACTGCCTTCCTGAAGCTAAGGCCCCCTTCAGAGCCATTCATCACGTCCCCACCGCGTGGCCGGACCGCTCACGCGTGATTTCTTAACGGGGCCCATCCTCGAAACAGCGACACTCCTCCCCCGGCCCGAACCAGCCGGGGCCACGCTCGGGAGAATGTGAAGCGTGATGCTTACCCAGCCCTTCGCGGATCCCAGTCTGGTCTTTCGAGTGCTTTCTTTTCCCCTGTTGCTCCAAGAATGGCAGGCCGCCTATCTTCTCGAAACACAGCTTCTTGTTGATGAAGAGGAACAGGACCGCCAGGAGAATGACAAAGACCCCGACTGCAGACAAGAAGCCAATGGCTTCAGGGGGGACTGGAAGGGAACACAAAGGAAAAAATATCATCACAATGAAAGTGACCCAACTTTTAGTTCTAACACATGGTCAGGTTTACTCGGAATCTTTATGTTGATCCATGAGAATGGCAAACGCCCCACAAGTCCTGACTTGCTGACGCCTCCAGGCCTGTGTGCCAGGGAAGGACCCCCAGCGGGCCCGTCCCGAGGGGCTGCTGCCTCACAGCACAGGCCTCCATGCCTTCGCACACGTGCGTTCTTCTACTTGGACTACAACTCTTCCCACGCCTGTCCTCAGCCTAATAGTCAACTGCGAGAAGCCCAACTCGAAGAGAGAAATCCATCAAATGTATTGAGCTGGGAATGGTTGGCCAGTGTCATTAACGCAAGTCTCTTAATAACACAGCTGCCTAACGCTTTAAAATAATCACTTGGGACAAACTTTCAGACATATACATCCATCAATATTAGTGATTGGAACAAAAGTCATTTCCTGGGTACATGTTTGCAAATCCACCTATGCAATATGACGATGGTGGTTATCAATGGTGACAAGAAAACTCCTAATCCATGCCATCCATGTAAGAAATGAGAATTATATTTTGACTGCTAATATTTTAGAATTTTGGAAGATGGGATTGCATCTATCTCCTTCTCCTCGTAAAAAAAATCCTAAACTTTAAATAACCCTGATTAAGTGTTATCAGTATGCCTCAGAGTCCCAGCCACTGTGTTCAGCTGTGAGGTGTAGAGAGTAGGGAGACCAGAGCTAGTTTGGGGTTGAGGAAAGGTTCCTTTAAGGAAATGATATTTGAGCCTAGACAACATTCAGTAAAGGAATCCAGACATCCCCCTGGCCAGTGTGGCTCAGTTGGTTGGAGGGTCTTCCCATACACCGAAAGGTGATGGGTTCGATTCTCAGTCAGGGCACATACCCAGGTTTCAGGTTCAATCCCTGGTCGGAGCCTGTGCAGGAGGCAGCCAATGGACATTTCTCATTTCTTTCTCACATGGATGTTTTCTCTCTCCCTCCGCCCCCCTCTCTGTAAAACTCAATTTTTTAAAAAAAGAAATCCAGACATCAACTAGTATAGAGAAAGTGATTACAGAGCAGGTGTCAATAAGTTACTCAAGGGAGTTGGGGATAGGTAAAAGCTTATGAAAATGAATCTCCTAAGAGCGGCTTTAATACTTGGGCCGATTTAACACGTGCATTAACAATATGCAGGAGAAATACTCACCTTACCCTACCGTCCAGATAAACAGAAAAAGCATGAATCCAAACAGTCCTAACTCCATGAAAAGATAAAGAAAATGAATAGTACTGCCTCCCTAAGTCTGTCTAGTGACAAGCCAATAAAAGAACAAGCAAAACAAAAAACAGCAGATAATAGCTTTGTCGTCTGCAAAATGATAACAGTGCCTGCTATCAAAGCCAACGTATACCATGAATAAAAAATATGCACATAACAATGATTCCCTCGCCCTTCCGAGGCAGCAGCCAGAGGTGCTCTCTGGCATGGGTTCAGCAGTGACACTGCCTGGAAGAAATCTGTACTCTACCACTCAGTATCTGTGTGGCCTCGGCTACAGGTTTCTAAGCAATTAAAGGAGATAATAAATATAGCTACATCAAGATTAAAGCGAAAGACAAATATCACATGATCTCACTTATACGTGGAATCTAAAGAACTTAATAAACTGATGAACAGAATAGATTCAATGACATGGAAGCATAGATGAGACTGATGAATGTCAGAGGGATGGAGGAGGGCGGGTGGGTGGAGGGGGAGAGAGTAACCAAAGAATTTATATGCATATATGCACAACCCAAGGACACGGACAATGGTGGGGAGAGGGACTGGGGAGGGGGAAGGAACGGGGTGGATCGCGTCATTGGGGAGAAAAAGGGACATCTGTAATATTTTAAACAAAAATAAAATTTAAAAAATAAAATAAATAAATAAATAAATAAATAAAAAGATTAAATGAGGTAACACAGGGAAAATAGTCTGTGTGGCACCTGACACATACAGAGTGCTCAAGCAGGAGTAAGCACCTTCCTCAACTATCACCATCATCATCTTTACAGAGCTGTTAAACTGTCTAGGAGCAGTCACATGTGGGATGGAAGCACTGTGCTTTGGACCCATCTCCCTCCCTTTCACCAAAACAATTATCTCTGCTTTTTTGCCCCTCACTTCTGTATTTTCAACTACTTTCCCTTGTAGAGACACCTTCTTCCTCATCTTCATTAAAAATGCACCAAGTATCTCCCTTCCTTTAAAAGCCCCTCCTTACCACCATGTGCTCCTCAGCCATAGCCCTCTCTCCTTTCCCCTTCGCAGCCAACCACCTTCAGAGTATTCCCTGTGCTCATCTCTACTTTCTTACCTTCAAAGCCACGAGCATCCTTCGCCCAGACACCCACTGGTCTCCATGTGCCCAGCCTGACCCACTGATATCCCTTCTCCATACAGTCGCCAGAGTGGTCCTTCTGAACTCTAAGTCTGATTTGTTCAACTGCCCTCCTAAAACCCTCTGGAGTTGTGGTCCCCCAAAAGATAGTTCCACCCTGAATCTCAGAATGTGACAGTATTTGAAATAAAGTTCTTTGCATATGCAATCAGGGTAAGATCTTAAGAAGACATCATCCTGTACTAGAGTGAGGCCTAAATTCAATGATAAGAGTCACTATAAGAGACTGGGGGGAAAAAAAGAAGACACTGAAGAAAGTCGTGTGAATACAGGACAGAGACTGGAGTTATGAAGCTGGCAGCTGAGGAATGCCAAGGGTTGCCAGCAGCTCCCAGAATCTAGGAGCTGAAACAGATTCTCCTTCAGAGATTCCAGAGGAACCAACCCTGCTGACACCTGGATTTTTTACTTCCAGCCTCCAAAACTGTGAGAGAATAAATTTCTGTTGTTTTAAGCCATCAAGGTGGTGGTAATTTGTCCTGGTAGCCTTAGGGAACAAATACACTCCGATGGCTTTCTATTACCCAAAGGACAAAATTTGAATTCCTTTACCTGGTTTACAAAGTCTTTCATGACCTAGCTACTGACTCCAGCCTTTCTCACTCATCACTCACCAACATCAAACTCTATTGTCAGTGTATTCATCTATTTCTGGTTCCCCAAACATAGCTCACCCCCAGGTCTTTAAAAAGGCTAGTTCAACTCTGTGGGACAAATGCTCGCCTCTCTTCTGGCGAACTCTGACACTCTGTTTCCTCTGAACGCCTGTCTCGTTCCTCTTGACCAGGCTGGATGCTTATACTGTATGTTCCCACCCACTGGGCCCTTGACAGTTTTTTCAACAGTTTCCAAGTAAGTTTTAAAGTTCATAAGAACAGGGCCTATGCCTCAGCCACTTATTGTACTCTCAGCAGCTAGCACAGGGTAGGCAGGCACTCACGACATATTTGCTACCTGAGTGAATGTGGAACTTTTCTATGTTAGAACACGTTGAAAAATGTACCTATCAATGAAAACTCCTGGAAAGAAAAGATAAATCTCAAGTGGGTCAGTAACATGCACCACACAGGATTTGACTTACACAAAATCTGATCTTAGAAAAAAGAGAGTTCATATCATTCATAAGCAGAAACATGTGCACCTAATAATTCCATTCATTCATGAAACTAAACTTTGATGTTTGAATAAAGTCTATTTTTTCAATGTGATGAGGCTCATCACATAAAATCTGCAAAATATAGAAAAAGATGAAGACAACCACTGTTAAGGCTTTGTGCTCTTCTAGTCACTTTGACTTTTCAAGTTGGTAGAGAAAACTAGGAATAAGTACAAATGTAGCTGAAGCAGAGAGAAAGCTGAGTTTGGCAGAGTTCACGTTCCTCCCAGAATCTGTCAATTCCAACTTCATCCTTTTGTATGTGTTCGGGGGCACTTAGTGGGAGGTTTGAAAGGGTGCGTAAGGGCCTGAGAGCCAACTGCTTTGTTAAATGTAGGTTAGCTTGTTGTGCTTTCTACATGAGTAGAGCACCACAGAAATGGCTAAGAAGTTGGCAGTGACCCCAGACTTGTAAGAATTGCTTAGCCAGGGTTGTACACAAACTGTCCTCTTTAAAAGTGATTTAAAATTCCAGACATAACCCAGCAGTTCCACTTCTAGGTATATTCCCAAGAGAACTGAAAATACGTTTACACAAAAACGTGCGCATGAATTTTCATAAGAGAATTATTCATAATAGCCAAAAAGTGGAAATAGCCCAAATGTCCATCAACTGAAAAACTGGGTAAACAACATGCATTATATCCAAACAATGGAATATTATTCTGCAATAAAAAATGAAGTACTGATACATGCTGCAACATGGATGAACCTTGAAAACACTGTGCTAAGTGAAAGAAGCCAGACACAAAAGCCCGTATGTTGTATGATTCCAGTTATAGGAAATGTCCAGAATAGGCAAATTCATGGAGACAGAAAGTATATTTTGTTGTTCCCAGGAGCTGGGGGGAGGGAGATATGAGGAGTGACTACAAATGGGTATCTGTTTTCTTTCTGAGGTAATGAAATTATTCTGGAATTGGATAGTGGTGATGATTGTAAAACTTTGCAAGTATACTAAAACCAGTGAATTGTACACTTTGAGAGGGTGTGAATTTTATGGAATATGAATTTTATCTCAAAAAAGTTTAAATAGAAATATATCACTTTTATGAGAAAATGTATAATCATTTTCTTAGATTTGGTTTGAAAGTGATTTTCTTCATGTTAAAATACTCTGTGATTTTATTATTCAATACTTAGAGTTAAAAATAAAGTTTAAATATAATAGGTCATGAGTACTGTAGTCAGCACAGCTCTACCCTCAATGTGTAGCACTGAACACAGCAAGCCAATGGCTCTATCAGAATGAGCCAAAGAGGGTTGGATGCTGTATCTGAGTCCAAACAAAATTAGAAACTTTGGCAGAGAAGTTTAAAGTCATTTTGCATCCCATCTA